TGTGAGGCACCCGATAGTGTTTACTGGAGGTAGTTTTTATTTTGCAAAAGGTTCCTTACTCTGGGTTTGTCAGTTTGATCTGCCTGATACAATTCCACAGGAATGTGAAAGATAAGTGGAGTTCTTGAAGTAATGCAGAAGCAGCACAGCTCTCTTTTACAAGAGAAATGGTGTAAAGGAATATGAATACAGTATTTTTGGACCACTGTGTAAATAGTACACATCTTGTATGCAGGTTTTGAAGAGTATCTTTTAAAGCAAAGTTCATCTTGCAATAAAAAAACAACAAAAACAAAACACAAAAAAAAAACCAAACCCCAAAACTGCAATATACCATATTAGGAATATTTTGGGTATAAAACCAGTCCATTTTGTAACCCCCCATCCATTGTACAGGTAATGAACAACTGTCTCAATTCCCTACTCATTTCTCATCATCCATGAATATGTCCACTTTCTCTTGCAACAAGTCAACTGATTTGGCTAATAAACATCAGTTTTATCCGGATACTACATTAACTCCTTTCCCAGGACATTCAAATCATCTTAAGTAGAACAGAAACTATTTCAGTGCATGCTTGTATTCTGTTAAACAAGATGTTCTTTCAGCATGGTCATTGTCATCTTGGGATTCTTAGAGAGGCTGAAAGGAGCAAATTACGTGTAATTTAAAACAAGGTTTATCCTTCTTTAATCGAAGAAAAATGTTTCACTGGCATTAGAAGAACTGTCGTGCCCCATATATCGCCACATTTCCAAAGGATAAGTACTGTTGAGTATTGAAGTGCAGATTAGATGACTCTGTTCTGGTCTGGCTATTATTCAATTCCTATCTGTCTGCTAGTTCTGCTCAGTAATACAGTTTCTACAGCTCTGCTCTCTACAGCTTCTGAGGAGGGGAAGTGGAAAGGGAGGTGCTGATCTCTTCTTCCTGGGATCCAGTCATAGGACGTGTGGGAATGGTTCAAAGCTGCGCCGGGGAGGTTTAGACTGGACATTAGGAGGTATTTCTTTACCAGGAGGGTGGTTGAGCCCTGGAACAGGTTTCCTAGAGAGGTGGTCAATGCCCCAAGCCTGTCAGTGTTTAAGAGGCATTTGGACAATCCCCTTAACAACATGCTTTAACTTGGCCAGCCCTGAATTGGTCAGGCAGTTGGACTAGATGATCGTTGTAGGTCCCTTCCAACTGAAATATTCTGTTCTACCAGTTCCCCAGTCAGAACTTGACTTTACTGTATGTAGTTTCCACATCACTCCTGAAATATGCTTTAAAATTAGCATCATCAGTTGATACTTTAATTTCTCTGGCAGTGAGGGTAGTTTAAGCAATAGATTGCTGAACTGTTAAGTGTAGAAAACCGGTATTTGCTATCTCTTAGAATGCTTGGCTAAATACCGTCTGGGCTTTGCAGTTTGTTACTACTTTTTATCAATTCTCATAAACTTTCTCATTCTGACACTTCTTTGAGTTCCTTGGACTCATTCTTAATGAAGAAAAGCTGTAGTGTGGGATGTCCTCTCACCTCTTCTCTGATCCAGAGAATTCATTTAATGATACTGTTATGGTCATGTTCTCCTTGCCAGTCAGCCTCGTTAATTCCCTGGAAGGCTTCTCTTCTCCCAGGTAAGCCTTTGGCAATTCAGTAGGCAGTCTAAGCATACTTTGTCTCAGTTAAACTTACTGAACTAGTGATCGTTAACAATTAGTCCATTTGCAGGTCTTATTTTAAGGTCACTTGCAGAATGCTGACCTGTAGAGAGTGGAAGACGTTCAGGCAGTAGGGACTGTGATAGACAATCTGGAAAGTACAGAACAGCTTCTTGTTTCTCTCTTTCAAACGCAACCACTTGTGCTGGAGCCAAGTTCTGATGTGAGATCATTTGTCTTGGAGCAGTACTAAGCCTGGCTGTCTGTATGTGTTCTATGGAGAGGAGAATCTGCTGACCTCGAGTAATTCTCCATCCTTCAGAACAGTGTAGGAAAATTAGTTTAGTGGATCTTTTAGCGCATTAGTTAGTGGGACGGGACTTTTTTTTTTAATATTGGAAGTAAGAGGGAAAAAACTGCTCTCCTCTAACAGCACAGTACCAACTTTCTAACAAACTTTCTTCTAGTAGATTTTTGCAAGAGAATTCCTTTCAATGTTTTACTTCCTTGATGCATGAGGTGAGGGGTTGTTGATACTTCCAAATACAGCCATTACTTCTGATCTTTGGTGACTCTGGAACTAATTAGTTTTCAATATAGAACTGGAAAATCTTTCTACTTTTTTCATTAAAAGACTTTTCAAGTATTTAACTTCAGCAGCCTAAGCTGTGACTTTGATTTAGTTTGTACCAGAAATGATTTCTGTGAGTTTGTTTTGATGGTATTTTAATCAGTATTTACAGCCTTACTGTATTCAGTGTTTTGCAGACATAGACAGATAGGGGAAATACTGTCTACAAAGGATTTCCAGTCCAAGTCCAAAAGACACCAGAAAATAGATAAATTTTTCAAGCACTTTAGTTCATAGCTGAAGGCACTATCTTGTGCTGCTGCTGGGCTTTTTTCTGTGTTCAAAATAAAGTTGAGGGTAAAAGCAGAGTAAAATTACAGCAAGGGTGAAACTAGAAGTAGAGGGGGTAATGAAAAATCAGAGATTGTATATGGCAAAAGATGACCATCAGGCAGGATTCAGTTTACAGAAGAGGAAAGTGGTTGTGCAAGAGCACTTGGGAGCTTTCCTGTGACCTAACAGGTACATTGAGGATGTTGCTAAAATGTTTTTAGGACAGACTGACCATGAGTATCCAGGAAGAGATCACTGAAAAGGAAAGCAGAGGCCAGATTGAGTATGTAAGTAGACTTGCTTGTAAAGTTAATTTGTTGAAAGGTTTGCCTATTTGGAAGAAAAAAAAAATAGGTGGGGGAAGCAGCTTTTGTTTGATCAAAGTAGAGGCAGGCTTTGTGAAAATTATCAAAAGTTGTGTTGCAGAGTAACTAGAACTTGGCAATTTCAGTGGAATGGAGAAAAACAAGTTTGCCAGTGTTCAGGGGCGGAAAGAGGAAACACTGAGAAGTGGACATGAATCCGTGAATGAAACCTGTCTTTCAATGACAAATGAGAGCTGAGATCTGAGGGGAGACAGCAATACTCGGGTGTAGCCTGGCTGTATGATCCTAGAGCAACACCTAAGATGAGGAGTCCCCTAGCTGTACTGGAGTGACTGGAAGAGTCAATGCTTGCAGAATTCATCAGACAGACTGTGTATCTTCTTTGGGAGCATTTTTACTTGCTGATCTCTCCCCGCACCACCGTAATCCTGTTTCTAGGAAGCAGTCACCATTTTAGCAGACTGCCCTGAAGCTTTGCATCCACTGCTTTTGCTGCTGCTGTTTGCTCATCCAGAAGAATAAGAATCAATATCAGCCATATCCATCTTATTTTGTTAGGATGGTACTATCCACAATCTTAGAGAAGGGCTTGGTAAGAAAACTTGTGAAAGTCCCAACTGGCATAATCAAGAAAGGCCAGAGAGAGATCTGAGCAGGCTAGTATAATGGATTTGGAGCAAGAATGGAAAATGCTTGTGCAATACTTGAGAAAGAAATGAAGTAGAAATAATAGAGGACTGTGTTCTTGTATGAAGTTATCTAGGAGAGCATGTGTATCGTAACCAGATGACCTGGGGACACAGAAGAAACCTTCAAATTGCAAGGCACGTCCCAGAAATGTCATCATCTATATTTAACCCTCTCAAACAACTTCAGTTACAAGCAACCTTTCTTTCTTCTCCAGCCATGCTGAGAACGTCACTAGCCATTGTCACTGTTCTCTTGGCTTGCTCTGTGTAGTGAGCAAAGCAGTAAATGGGAATGTGATCTCCTCTGCAGTTGTTCTTCAGAAAGGCAGCAGCATAGCTGAGAACTGGGTCACTGCTATCACCTAGAAAGTTGGTCCAGCCATGGAGACAAGCAGCAGTGCTATTACCAGTGAAGAAGTACTAGAGACGCAGATTTTTAGAGATCTGAGCAGAAAAAGATCATTGGCTGTCAACAGCTGAAGATCCTAGGTAGTGAAGGGCAGCATATTGATACCCCAGTGGTGTCCTGGTTTTGAGCACTGCAAATACCAAATATGTTTTTGATGCTGCTAATCCTCATGGGTTCTCCCACATATTAGTGTTGTTTGGCTGTGCATTGCCAAGTCCCATGTGCCTCTCTGCTCCCTTTGCCCAGGTGGGAATAACGCTGTCTGACTGATGAATCTGCTTCACAGGAGGTGAGCAGGGATGGAGCTATAGAGCTGGGGGAGCTGAGCTGCTGTTTGCTTGAGAACAGCAGGTGGAGGAGGATTGTACTGTTGTAGGGTAGGGGTCCCTCTGCCATCTAATACTGTTGTCTCTTCCATGTTACCTGTGTTGGTAGGAAAGTTTGATTATAGGATGAGTGTGGAGGAACACTGGCTATTGGCCAACGTTTTTATATTATTACAGGTGTGCGTGGAGCCCCTTTCAAATTTTTTGCCATTACCAGCCCTAGAAGGGAAGGATGGTAGAAGTTTCCATTCCTCTCAGCAGCTAAGGGTAGAGATCTACTGTTTTGAAGGTAACATGAGAAAACAGAGCCCTTGAGCAGGCCCTTAAGCAAACAGTCCCAGCCTATCCCCTTCTCTAGTTGTTAGCCTCTTCCTCGTATCATGTTCTCTTAGGAGCTGCTCTGTTCATTTTGTAAATTAGCTATTTTTCACCTGGAGAAGCAAAGCTTGAAATGCCTCATGTCCTGTTAGCTTAACACTTATTGTTAAAGAAGAAAAAAAAAAAAAATCATGTTTTATGTGTTGTCAGAAGGAATCTGCAGGGAGGAAAAGAAAATTATGGGATTTTCTTATTTTCCCCAAAATAATTCTGCTTACATTTGTGTAGTTTTGGTCTGTAGCTCTAATAGAGTATTAGCTCTAATAAACTTTTTATGAAATATTTTTATACTATATTTTCCTTTCTTTATTTTCCAGGGCAGGGAAACCACCACCTGGCTTACATCTGGATGTAGTCAAAGGAGACAAACTCATTGAGGTATGAAAATAGGTTTTGTGTTTATTTGGTGTATCATATACATAGGCACCAGCACATTTCCCAGCATTTTCCACACTTACTCATAAGTATTTCCTTTCTCTCTCTTATTCATTATTTTCAAATCAGTTTGTTTTATTCTGAAACTTCAGAATGAAGTGAATTTTCCCTTGCCTGTACTCTAAGGCATCTTATACTATGCAGTGCTTCCATCAGTTATCTTCCGATTAGATGCACTGTTTGAAGGGATATAAAACTGCAGTGCTCAGCTAACAAACAATGACACTTAGATTCCTGAACATTAGACCTGTCCTAGTAAGAGAGAGAAAAAAATAAAATGTTTGTAAGGGAAACTCGATACTTTGCAGACCCTTATGTTTTCCAAACTTAATTTTGGACCAAAGTTGACATTTTGTTCCCTACAAGATACTTATACAGGAAGTATCAGACTGCAGCCAGAAGGCATTTTGTCTTAGGAATTTCAGGAGCAGAAACTTGAATAACATGGGGAAAGAAATCTCAAATACAAAAGAGTAAGAGTAAAAACTCTCTACTTTATACTGCTTGTTTGAGATACTTGTCTGGTCAGTTTATTTTTTATTTTGTTTTACGGTAAGGTTAACTAGGCATCCTGTATTTTACAGGATTGTTGCCCTGTCCTACAGTATGAAATACAGTATTTTTTTTATCATGTTCTAGATCTGTGAACAGTGTTGTAATTAGCACAGATACAATGAGTTATTTTTATTACAGCAAAGGAATTTGTCTGATATACACCACCTCATTCTCTATTTCATATTTTGTCTTATATCACACTAAAAGTAGTAAATAAAAAAAAAAGGCTCTTTAACATGGTTGACAGAGAGGACCAAAGCCAGTGAATGTGTTTTAGCTGTGGAGAGACTCCTGACTTGCAATTGACAGAAACAGAGAAATGTTTCAGGGCAGCAAAAGTTTGCAAACTTGAGCCAACTTTTCTGAACAGAAACTTGGAAAATTAAGAACTCGGTGTTAGATCAGGAAAGATTTAGGTAGCTTAAAATCTTGGCTGTTTTTTAATGTATGCTACCAGAGGAGCATCAGACAGTATTAAGTGTTCCTTCTGGTGTCTAGCAGGAAAGATTTACTGTTTAGAATTTGGTTAAGTTACCAGAATATGCTTTGCATAGGAAAGCAGATAGAGATGTCACAAATAGGTATCTCACAAATAAACTTGTGTTTTCCCAGGCCAGAAACCAGTAAAATGAGGCTTTTCGTTATAGTCCATTACTGTTGGTTTTACAGACTGTTTTGAGAGAGTACTCTTACTCTGGATTTAAAGACACAGAAAATTGGCAAAGCCAGTCTTGACCTAAAAGAGATCTTTGCTCAGCCTTAATTTGAAAGAAATTAGATACTAACACACGCTTACTGCATCTTCGGAGTAGCTCATTAGTTCAAGACATGGCTGAGTAGGTTCATACCCGCTACTCGGACTACATTGGAGCTATCCTTCACTGGCTCTTTCTAGACGCTATAGCTTTCAAACCCTTTGCATTGCTCTTACCTCCACATTTCTTCCCATGGACCATGTATTCTGCTTCTCATGGTACTGTTACATGTTCAGAATCATTTTCAGAGATCAGAGAGCTGTAGTAGGACTGCTTCTCAGCTCAGTCTTCTCACTGCCATCCTAGCAGCAGCATCTGGGGTAAGGATTGTACTTGGCACTGGGTTTTCCAGTATTTCTTTCAGGCCGTGTAATGAGATTCAGTGAGCAAAGCCAAATGGCAGTGACTTTGGGGTTTTTGGTACGTGGCAGGTGGCCAAACATAATGCAGCCTTCCCACCTGGGAGACTTACTCTGTGAGATGAGTTTTTTCTTGTCGTGTTTCTTTTGGATTTTTGAGCATGGAGAGAGAGCTTTAGGATGAAAGAGTTTATCTGGAGTTCTCTGCTGAATTAATCATCAGGTGCTAGGCAAATGTCTATCATGGGAGTCCTGGTCAGGACTGAAAAAAAAAAAAAGCAGCAAAATGCCATATGGAAACTGAGGATGCACCATTGGTTTTGGCAATGCATGAGCAAATTTGGTGTTGATAACTTGACAGTCAGGAATATCGTCCTGGTGGTGTCAGACTCTGAGGCTGTGCTGCCCAAAGCTTTTGGACCTACAGGAGGCCCAAGTTGGCTTTGTAAGCCTGGGGTCTCTGCATTGGGAAAGTGGGTGGTACAAACATCCTGATTCCTTCTTCCTACCATCAACTCTCTTGATAACCTAAAAGAGGTTCTTTTTGCTGTCGTGCAGAGCACTGTTAACAGCCATTGCTAGTCCGCTATGCAAGTACTCCAAGGTTCAGTAGAGGATGTGATCACACAGAGGTTACAGAATGACTGCAGAATTTGTGTGTTACCTCCTGAATATCTGATGTTGGCTATCGATGTTACTGAGATCAGTGAGGTACAGCTTGCCTGCCATTCAGTGTATAATATGTGTGCTGAATGCTGTGGCAAGCGGTGACCAGGCGCAGGCACCTATGTGTGTAGCACAGAGGTCTGGCTTGGTATCATACTTCTGTCTGCCGAAGTAAGAATCAGAAGAGCTGGCTTGGTGGGGAAGTCCTAGCAGACTGTTCCATGTAGCGTGCATGCCTGCTTGTATGATTGCTTTGTGGCATTGCACACTGTATACAGGTGATGACTTAAGTCCTCTAGGCTGTGGTGGTTACATGAGACAATGTTCTGTGTGTATATATGGGAACTGTGCAACAAATTCACAGCATTTGAATGTGATCCGTTTCCCTTTTTGGTACATACGGCAAATAGTTTTTCAGTTTTGTGTCTTATGGTAGACAGCAAGAAAAAACATTCTTAAATCTTGTGGATTACTGAGCACTTGATACTAACCGAGCCATCCGTATCCCAGGTCTTGTGCAGAGATCTGAGGTACATCTTGTGATTGCTGGGTCTGAAAAGTGCAACATTAAAACAAGCCATGAAGTGTTTAAGCTCGGTGTATAAAGGATAACACTGGGTTATAACTCAGAGGCACAGAAAATTTTGGAAACATCATCTTGAAGTAAAGGCAATAAAATTATTTTCTCTGTTGATGATTTGTTGCAATATTTCCAATTTATAAATTTGTTTGTGTCTTTGCAAAATCTCTTGAAATGCTGTCAAGTCAGAATGGTATTGTTTTGTGAGTAACGGCTGCAAATGAAAACTTACGGGACAATTCCTTTGGTTTCAGTTGTGGACAAGAATGAGAAATTGTTGGACCGATTTTTATGGTACTTGAAATGGTGAGATAACTGCTTGCGGAGCTGAGCACTGAAATGTGGAGTAATGAATCAGCTTCTGAAGATCCATTTGTTTGTATCAGAGTTGTGTTTACACAGGATTTTTTTTCAAATACACGAGAATAAAAGGAAAAGTTAGAGCTGGTCTTTCTTACAAAGTGGAATCATAGAATTCGTTAGTACAAAGGTACTGAATTTGGGGAGACTCAGGCTGCTGAACTGAATGAGTAAGGTACTGCGTAATATTGGACATAAATCCATTGCTATGAGGTTGAATCCCCAGAAAACCTAACCAGCATTTCTCGAAAGATGTATTGCAACAAACACTATGGTATTCACAGATCAATAGCTGGATGAAACAACTGTAATCGTAAGGGAAAATATCAGTGAGACTAATGGAATGATGTATGTTGATTAAGGCTTGCAGGGAAAAGCATAACAAAAGTATGCTGGCATGAAGAATGTACAGGGAAGAGATTGACTGATCTTTTTACAGGTGGAATTAAAAAAAAAAAGTGAAATAATATTCAACCAGAAAGGACTGAGGAAACCATGTACTAGTTTAAGCTGTTTATCAGTAGCTTATACTTTCTGGTTAATTCTGAGGGAAGAGTCTTGTGAAAACCAGCATTTGTAAAGAGACAGAAAGTGATAATAAAGTAGCCAGGTGAGAGCAGAATCCAGTAGGCTGTTTCAGTATATTGATTTCTCAGGTTTTTTATCTGAATTTTACTGAGACTTCGAGGTATGCTATGCCCCACCAGACACAAATAGATTCGGAGGAGACACCTGCATGTTTTGAATGTCCCAACTGGAGGAAAATTATTTGCATTTTGCATTTGCACCTCATTTGTCACCAGATAATGTGACATGTAATGTCACATGTAATGACATGTAATGTAAGGTGAATTGCTAATTAAGCTGTGATTCCTGTCTTATCAAATGAGACGTGGACTCACAAAGATGATTTTTTTTGTAGTTAAAGTTTAAGTATTGGTGCTCTTGTGGATTTTCTGCCAGCCTATGTATCACTAAGGGTACTGATGAAGTTGTCATTCTATCTAACCATTTGTTTTCCCAGAACTTCTTGAAATTTAATGTCTTGTAGTGCTGGTTGAAATTGGCCAGTTGGTTGAGAAGTTATTTGGTTTGGTAGCGGGTGTCGGAAGCTGATGGATATGCTCGCAGCTTGATCACCTAAATCTTGTTATTTTAAGAAGGCAGGCCAAAATATATGTCAGTAGATTTCACAAAGCATTTATTCTCATGAAATCATGCTTAAAAAGTATACCTTGAGTTAGTTGGGAATAAGACATTAGCAGATTATTACCTAAGGGACCAATTAATTGTAAAGTCGTCATGATGCATACTAGTATGGAGCTGAGTTGTTCAATTAATTCTTCTAGTGACCTAAAAGAGAGAATAAACATACAGAGATAAATTAAGTACTTATTACTGAATACGAGATTATGAGAACTTGCAGCATGGGGGCTGACAAATGTTCCGCAGAACAATGAGAAATCCAACCTACAAAATGTAGAATGCATCTGGGGGGAAAAATCTGAAAAAAAAATCAGTGGGGAAGTGGCATCCAAATGTAGCAGTGCTAAAAGCCTTCAAGTTCATCGTTGGTGGGCAGGTAAATAGATGTAACTTTGCAAGGTGATTTGTAGTAGAAAATGAAGTCCATGTGATTTTTATGCTTGCAGATAAGGCAGAGGGATATAAATACTATGTCTTACTCTAAGCTCTCTCTTTATTTTCTGTATGACTTGGTAGTGCCACAGAGTAAGTAACTGTCTAGGTGCTTATTGTGTCAGTCTTTCTGATAGCTCAAAAAAACCTAGTCTGATATGTTAGCTCTTTCTAGCTGAGCATGTGGTTTATACAGCTGGCAAAACTGAGGAGCAAACAACGGATTGACAGGAATGCTGCTGCCAGGAAGGGAGGTCCTTCCTCGTCACACAGTCCTGGTGCATATAATCCATTGCTTCACTAGAGCCAGCTGGGATACGCATCTGGCTGAAGGCAAACTGATTCAGTCCACTGAAACTGTAGTAGACTAATGCAGCAAAAAATGCTTTGCAGGCTGAAGACTTTGCTCAGATGTGTGGCAGTGCAGTTGAGGAGAGGATTGTATAGCTGGGAATGGAAGGAGGGAGAGGGGAGAAATCCTTGTGCTCTAGCAGGCAAAATGTTAATTCAGCTTAGACCATCTCACGAAAGCAATGCTTTCCTGAAGCAAAAGATCTGTTTTTTTTTTCTTATGGAAAATGTATCATCAGCATTCTCTTGATCATGCTATTGAAACATTGTGTGGGCTTTGGTAAATGTTTCAAAAAGCAGGAGAAGCCATCTGTTAACAAATCTGTAATGCATTGCCAGCCTTTGACTTGTGCAGCTGGAAGCACGAAAACACAGGTTAGATTAAGATCTTGGGATACAGTGAGGAAGAAGGCTGTCCTGCTTAGGTACTTCAGCATTTAGGCACAAGGAGTTCAACAACATTGTCTGTTAATAGAAATATGCTGTGTACAGTGTAGGACTGTGTCAATGCGTTCCTTTGTTTTTCAGAGATGGTTCATGTAACTGGTATTACAGTATGTAAGATCTTGTTTGAAGAAGGGATTAGAACTAGGATGAATTAAGAAGAAATGCCTAAAATTAATGGCTTACTTGAATAGACTAATATGGATTCATATCACAGTACATATTCAGTATAGTTTTACATCTTTATTATAAAGGTCTGAAATCTCCTGTATGTCCATTTCTATACAGAAATATAATTTTGATGTTCTATATCGGACTGGAGATCATTTAGCATAGATTCCTGGCTTAGACAAGGCCCAAGGTCATCTGCCTCGAGGAATGCGTAAAAATCACTGGGAGCAGATGTGAGAGAGAATCTGTTGTATGAGACAGTCTCATGCTTTGAAGAGTTATTGTCCTTCCCAGGCTGTCTTATATTGGCTGTTAAAGAAGGGAATAACTGGGACTCTTCCATGTTCAGCTGTTCTGATTTTACAAAGAGAAGATTTGAGTTTCTGTATTGAACAGTGTCAGAAAAAACTGAAACATTGATTAGACATTGATGCTTTATTTTCAGTTTGCTCTGTTTATTCATGTTCTTGAATTTTTTCAGGAAGATCCAAAAGATTATAGGCGTCTAATATGCTTCTCTGTTTGATATTCTACCTCAGAAACTCATCATTGATGAGAAGAAATACTATCTCTTTGGGAGAAATCCTGATCTGTGCGATTTTACCATTGACCACCAGTCTTGCTCTCGGGTCCATGCTGCCTTGGTCTATCACAAACATCTCAAGAGGGTTTTCCTCATAGATCTAAACAGCAGTAAGTAGTGTGACATTTAACCAGATAGAAGTATGATATTTCAGTGCTTAAACACTTCTGAATCTGAGACGCTTTTTCCTTTTTTTGTTGTTTGCACTGTGTGGATAGATGACTATAATCTGAATTAGCATCCTAGTGAAAGATTGGCAAGGGTTAGGAGCAAAGGAGTGTTTGCTGCAGTCAGCTTACATCTGCTTCACTTGGTGTTTAAAACAACATTTCTAGACTCTCTTAAGAGGCTAAGGGTGAGGAGGAAAGTGACTTGGCCTTCCCTTCACAATTTTAATGAAGCTTTCTCTTCTGAGGGTGGTTTCCCAAGATCTAAAACCTAAAATCAGTGTTTTATCCACTGAGGGAATGATTGCAGACATGGTACATTGGGACCTACAAGAATCCAGAACGTAAATGGTGTTTGTCATTTATTTCCATGACTTTTTGAGGACTTCTGATGTGTGTTATCGTAGTTTGTGAGATGGTAGGTAAAATGTACATAGCTAATGTTTTCAGCAGTACCTCAGTGACTTGTATCTCAGAGCAACCATGTACAGTTACTGAACTTCTCAAGACTTGAACTCGAATACTGTGAGCCAAAGCTGATGACTAACAGACTATTTTGTATTTTGATGTTCTCAGCACATGGCACGTTCTTGGGTCATATCCGTTTGGAACCTCACAAACCCCAACAGATACCCATTGACTCCACGGTTTCATTTGGCGCTTCTACACGGGCATACACTCTGCGAGAGAAGCCTCAGACACTGCCATCAGCCGTTAAAGGAGATGAGAAAATGGGCGGTGAAGATGAAGAGCTCAAGGGCTTGCTGGGCCTGCCAGAGGAGGAGACAGAGCTTGACGTGAGTATGATGGCACACTGTACCTAGATGGCATTTCCAGCTAAACAGATCGCATTCCCCACTTGTTTGCTTAGGTTTGGGTTCTTAATTTCTTGGCCTTGAAGATAGTCTGAGGTGTCATCTGCTGGCAGACACACACAAACCATCTCGTTCTGCCATGATAAGCCTGTGATCATGCTGCTTCCCAGAATCAGTGACCTAATAATCCTACTATTCCAATGGTCTCCTCACAAAGGCTTGCCAGGGAGTACGTGTTCTCCAATTAACATTACCCCAGGTCAGGGGTGATTTCCCACACTGTTCCCCACTGCCAGATAACAGTGAATGCTGCCCTGTTTCCTACAGTTAGCTAGTGAAGAGGGAGAAAGCAGTATGTGTGACATTCACAGGATTGTTGAGGTTCGAAGGGACCTCTCAGGATCATCTAGTCCAGCCCCCCTGCTCAAGCAGGGTCAGCTGGAGCAGGTTGCCCAGGATCGTGCTCAGTCAAGTTCTGAATATCTCTGCAGACAGAGACTCCACAAACTCTCTGGGCAACCTGTTGCAGCACTGGAGCACTCTTTCTTCCTAGGGGTCTAGAGTTGAAGCTAAACACTGTGCTGTGGTCTTTTGATATGCACAATCACATGATTAAATCACACTGCATACACTAGTTGCTTAAACTATTTTGTCTCCAAATTTGTCATTAGAACCTGACAGAGTTTAATACAGCCCACAACAAAAGAATTTCCACACTAACCATTGAGGAAGGGAATTTGGATATTCAGAGACCAAAGAGAAAACGGAAGAACTCCAGAGTGACATTCAGTGATGATGATGAAATCATCAATCCGGGTAAGTAGTTTGCTTTAATCTTTAGTTGATGTCTTTAAGACCCTCTTTCCAGTATTCTCATAGGGATTCCTCATGGCTGCATATGGATAAGGAGAACAGAAATTTGGCAGTCGATATTGGAGATCTGCTATTTCAGAGAAGCTGCCACATTTCTCACTTAAGTCTTTGACCTCTCTCTGTTTCTTCTCTTCTACCTGTAAAATAACTGCATGATTTGACCAGGACAGGGATATTGCACTCAGCTTCATTCTTCAAAATTCTGTCAGATGTTGGAAGGATCTCATGGGTCCAAAGGAGGAAAGTGTTTTAAATGTTTTGCCTTCTTTAGAATCTCTAAATGGGAGCTGAACTTGTTTGGTTTTCATCTGTCCCTTAACGCTTTCGTTACCTGTTGCCTAATGGATATTTGTCTCAAGCTCAGAGGTTTTTTGCTACTTGTCTGCATACCTGAAACAAGTCATTCCCATTCAAAATGATGCTTCTGAAGATGTATCCATTTCCTAATTAGTCATTTTTCTCCCTTAGCTGTTTTATATTAATGGCACTCCTATTGATGATATTTTATATGGATAATATTCCTATTAATAAGAGTAGCTTATTAATGAGTATGCATTTTAAAACATAGTCTGGAGCTAGTTTCATTTGGCAGTGTATACCACCCAGAATAACGATTTTGATTTATAAGGTTGTCCAATTTAGTGCTCAGAACATCCTAATGTAAGCAGTCATTCACATTACAAAAAAGGTAATTTTTTTAGACTTTCAGAGACTCTACATTGAATTCTTCTGACTCCTCCTTCAAGGTCCCCCAAGGACTTTTGGGGCTAGCTGTTGTGCCTTTGAGCACGTGCAGTGCCTTGTCAGCAGCAGCTTTCAGCCCAGAGCTCCAGTCTGTCCGATCAGTGCAAAGTGGCCATCCATCTGTTCCCTTTCCCCATTCTCCATTTGAGTGGAAGACTTTCTTACCAGAGTATCTGATGAGCCCACCTTGAGACAAAGCCACTAGGTGTCCCCTTAGCTCCTCTCTTTATTTAGGAGTGCTTGTGCTTACTGAGAGCTACTGGAGCGCTGGCTTTGAGAAGAGAAGGTCCATGTACCAATTCTTCATATAGGTTCCTTTACCTGACAGATGTTATATCTTTTCCTGTATTCTTACTGAAAGCTTCACTGTTCTTGTCTTTACAGAGGATGTGGACCCTTCTGTTGGGCGTTTCAGGAACATGGTACAGACAGCAGTAGTCCCTGTTAAGGTACAGAGTAACTCCCAGCTTTCTAATTATTAATACATTACATTAATGAACTCACTTTATGAATTGCACCTTAGAAACATAATGTTCTATGGTGAAAAGTGTTTTATTGTTAAGCAAAAGTCATGTTCATGTTTCACAATTGTCTTTTTTTAGCAGATTTGACCATTTCTTTTCAAATCCAGCTTTAGCTCTTTTCTTTAATAACACATGGGATCAATGGCAATTTTTTTTCCTCCCAAAAAGAAACACTTTCCAGAAATTCAGTATGGTAGTTCTAGGCATCAGTTAAAATTGTGGGAAGTGTGGAAAATAAAAGGTAAACACAAGAGGTTGTTTGTTTAAATCCTGTAAGTGCTGAAGATTTCATAAGGTTGTCTACTAGAACTAGCAGGGCTTAGACTTTGCTCCAAGGTGAGTGTGGTGGCAGTGCTATATTTAATTTGAGTATGTTAGGAGTAGGGAAGATTTGCAAAACTTTAGGGTAGCTAAGCAGCAGTGTAATAGCAATTTTGCTTGTTGCTGGTATACACTAAATAATGTATGTGGAAAAGGATAATTCTACGTAAACCCCAAACTGCATGAGAAGATTCAAATGCACAAGAGCTAGGCAAGATCACCCAAGTGATCTAGAAGTTGCAGTTTCTTACTGTGGGGGGAAGGAGGGTCTGTGTTACTGACTGAAGACCTACTTGGTCTTGCGTTCAGGACAAGCTCAAGACTGGCAAGCATGTACAGGAGGTAAAGAGGTGCTCAGACCTGATCTAAGTTAAACCTGAGCTTCAATTTCTGTCACCCCTTCCTGCATTGTGCACCTTTAAGAGTTTATTATTAAGTGGTTTTCAAGGAAACCCAAAAGAAATCTTCTGGGACAAAGACTGGGACATGGTCTGTAACCACTTTATATGTGGCTGGTCTAGGTGCCTTTTTGGGGAGAATGACATTGGCATCCAGTTTAAATAGCTTGCTTTTTTTCTTGTAGTTTGAATAATTCTTTAAATACTTCCATCTACAGAAAAAACGGTTGGAGAATCCAGGCTCATTGACCACAGATGATTCTGCATCACGACGTATGCAAAACTTTCCCTACAGTGGAGGATTATATGGTGGTTTACCTCCAACTCACAATGAGGCAGGTTCCCAATCGCATGGCGTCCATGGGACAGCACTCATTGGTGGTCTGCCAATGCCCTACCCCAATCTTGCCCCAGATGTGGACTTGACTCCTGTTGTGCCCTCAACAGTTAACATGAACCCAGCTCCAAACCCTGCTGTCTTTAATCCTGAAGCTGTGAATGAACCCAAGAAGAAGAAATATGCAAAGGAGGCATGGCCGGGCAAGAAGCCGACCCCTTCCCTACTGATCTGAGTTGGGTTTTGTTGAGGGAGGGAGGGTGGGTGGGAGTTACGAACTCCAGAAACTGTTTATGTGCAGTATCGTCTTTTTAAAATTTCAATGTCCTAACCAGATGTAATACCAAGATTGGAGAAGTGAAATATTCTTTAAAGATCTGTCTTCAAATGTTTTTATATGTCTGTTTAAAAGAAAAAAAAAATACAGCTCCCATCTCCTTTTGAACCAAAATATCTGGCAGCCTTTTCTTAGCCATTGCTGTCCCCAGAGGTCTTTACTCTGAATTTTGATCCATAAGTTGAAGGGGCAGTGTCATGCAATTTAATTATCATTTATGGCATGACCCTGCAAATTCGTGTATTTAGGTGTCGTGCTTACTATGAGTAATGTTGTTGCTGCTGGACTTGCTCATAGCAGGTCAGCTCTATCAGAAGTAAATGTTTGTGGGGCCAAGCCTTTCAGAAATCCCATTGGTATGAGTTCTAAAACTTGCAAAATACAGGTCAGCTTTTATTTTTTACATTTTCAAAACCCCACCAATGTGGGGCATTATCTTTTTGTTTCGTTTTGTTTGGCTACAGCTTGTTTTAATTTCCACCTAAAACACTACAGCATCCCATTAGTTCATGAGAACGTGGAGTTGAGATGGATGACAAATAGACAGGCTTCCTTAGCTGAGGTCCAGTATTGTACGATGGAGTGCTGTGTGGATGGATAAAGGGGTGTGCACGTGGATGGATCTGAGCTTGTGTTGGTGCTAATGGCAGCATACAAGCATGGCAAGCCGAGGACGGTTTGACTGGTGGATAGGCACTATCTACACTGTACAAACAATAAACAGCAAAGTAGAGTTGACTCTCTCTCCTGTGATAACTTAAGGTGAAGTTAACACAGAGGAGAACAGTTTCTTTTAAACTTGGTGCCCTTTTAACTTAAAAAGTTTCATTTTTATTTGCAAATGGAACTTGTGAGCTTAGAGTATATGTGAGATGCAACAAGACACACACAAAAATGAGCAGCCATCAGCACTGTCAGAGGACTTGCATGTTTAACAACTAAAACCACAATCTGCACGCTATTCTGGCTGCTAGTTACAGTGGGTGAGAACTGAGTGCTACTTAAAGCTAGAATATGAATTGTCAGTAGAGAATCTGCCTTGCCTTGAATAAAGCAGTGCACAAATTGGTTTCATAATATTACAATTTTTGACTACTTCATCACTTTCTCCCATTGAATAAAATGAGAAGCTTGATTTGGATTGTTGCTGTAGCCCTTCAAATCCTCGGTTTTAGATTTCAAAATCTGATTCACATGTATTCAGACACTATGTCTTCACTTTATACAAGGTATGGCCAGAGCTCTGTTTTTCTTAAGTTTACTCTGGATTTTTTTACATTCTATAATGCAGTTCAGCTATGTAGTCACATTCCTTTGTTGTTTGGGGGATTTCTCCAGGAAATGTGCACTAAAATGACAGTAGTGTACCCAGCTGTTCATTGTGTGCAGTACTGTAGCTACCTGGCTAAGTAGGTTTGTGGAAATCTGATGGCTGCTGGAGCAGTGCTGTGTTATAGTGCATCTGGTGTGCTGCATGCACTAGACCTGTTTTGGACAGATGCTCCAAAATCAGTGTGACTTCTGCGTCTGCAGAGTGATTGCTTCTATCATGTTGTTGAGGTAAAAATGAGTTAGTAGCTACCCCATTTACAAGAGCGATGGCTTTAGAGACTGGTTTGTTCCCCTCCCCGCACCATCATATCTAGCTCAAACTATTATATGGATGAATACAGTACCTTCTCCATGATATAGTTGTGCCGCTCTGTGTTTAGTTGCTATTGAATATGATTCAGTCCTCAGGCATTCTGCTTCCAAACACTCCATGCTGACTTTTAAAATCTTTCTCCCTTTATTTTTAGTTTTGCTTCTTTCTGGTATGTAGTATTTTCTTTTTCCAGCCAGTCTGCTTTATGAAGGCAACTCTTTAGGGTAAGACTAGTTAGGGCAAGTAAAAGTTGAACAGGTTTTCTTCTTCCTTTATTTCTGTTTTGGGGTTGGGGTGGTTGGGGTTTTTTCTTTTTTTTTTGGGGGGGGGTGTTTTTTTGTTTTTTTGCAAGTGGCTCTTTGCAAGATTTTTCTTGAAAAGGGAAGCTTTACTGCTCATTGTTTCTTAAAGCTCTTCTCCTCCCTGGGTTTGAACAAGCTCTCATTATTTTAGAGCTTAGGGGCCATAGCTGGCCAGTACAGGAGGGGATAGTATAACATCTAGGGGCTTTGTACAGAAGTTTGTACACTTGTGTAATATGTAATAGGCCTTTTCACACTTTCTGTTGAGCTTTTTACCTGTAACCTTTACTATGTTGTAAATTAAATGCAGATTTTGCCAGTTTGGAGAGTGTAGTGTGTTCGTTCCCAGTCCACACTTCAGCAGTTGGGACTGTACATTGTTTTGTGGCTTGTTGAAGGATTTCTGCCATCGCAAAGTGCAGCTATCACTGCAGGTCTTGTTCTTAGTGGCTGGGTTGGGCTGCAGCTCTTAAAGCTGCTCCAGCTTCTTTGCTCGTGACCTGCTTTGCTGCCTTGTGCTGCAGCGCATTGCACTTTTGCACACGAGAGTAACACTTAACAGTGGATTTTAAACAGCAGTCACCTTTGTTTTCTGAGTGAAGTTTTATCTGGTTCTGGCATAATCCTCTTTCTGCAAAAGTTATACTTTAGAGCCCAACTTTGCTCTTCTCGTTGCCCAGCTTGCTGCCTCTGACCTATAGAGTGGCCTTGGGCAGTCTAAATGCACCGTCCTTTGTCACACTGTGTCTCTGCAGCTTGTCCTAGGCTCACTGGGGAGAGCTGTAGTGAAAAACAGTAAACTGGGACCTGGTTAAAGATAAGCGTGGTGCCTGTGGTGTAGGGTTGAGAGGGATTCCCAAGCTTTGCTGAATTTAGTAATATTTAGGCTATGGATTAGTATTTCTTCTCAATCCAGCAATATCCTTTAAGCAGCTGGGGCAGTTACATTTTCATTATTATGTGTCAGCAGAAGGCTGAATCTTCACAATTCATGTGCAAGCTGCTGATCTGCCATAGGTAGAAATAGTTGGTACAGGTTAAGTAGTTAACTTTTATGGTCTGACATTTAAGTGTTGGTGTGGTTAGTTAATTTCCTGTATTAAAGGAAATATTAAAAAGGAGTCAACTTGCGTGATAATTTAAAGCACTCTCTGCAATGTCAAATGCAGAGATGGGAACGAAGAAGTGGAGAAGAGTTTGCAGCTGAATAAATGATTGAGCTAAAGAATAACGGCAGTGTTTTCCAGGAACATCTGTCCTTGCAGCATTCACTGGATTGTCTTTGTAACCCCTCTTCTCTCTTTCGGTTTTGAAATACAAGAGTGCAGTACCCAGCAGGCGTCCCAAGAGCTAGTAATGAGCTGGCAAAAGTTGTTCTATTCCGAGTGTGCTGTGCAATAAGATACCGATGTGTTAGACCCTGTGATGACATACCTGAAAGAATGACTTCTTGGAGAGGAGGTGACTTCTCCCTGCGGCCTTTTAGGAGAGCAGGAATAGCTTCCATCGCAGAACAGGTGAGTGTGCCAGTTGAAGTGTGTGCTTGTACAATTATACCAAGTGCTTTGAAACACTCAATGGCATGGGGAAAGACCACAGTAGAGGGTTGGACTGGAAGACATGGCTTAGGACAAGCCAAAGAACTGGGGCTGTGTAATGGCTATTACTGGGCTCAGAAGTCAGATGCTGTTTAAGAGGTTTTTTTCAAAAGCAGTCTAATACAGTCAGGTAATTTGTAGGTTCTTTGATCTCCCTCAGAGGTCCTGCCTGCTCTGCAAAAGCAATAGCTTTCCAGCAGCATTGATGGTTGCTTCAGTGTTGTCTTTTGCTTCTTATGAATTTCCCAGAACTGATGTCTTCTTCAGAGGAGCTTTAAGGGAGAAGCAGTTAAAGAGCCCAAATCTTTGCTGTCCACCCTCTTGTACATAGCTGTCTGTCTTGTCATATATTCTGGCATACATCTGTGAAAGGTTTTAATCACGTTTGCAGAATGGTAGAGGAGGAAGAAGTCTTAAATACTAGATGTGCTCCAAGTACTGCTCTGGGACATTTCTGACACATCTTGCCATGGCCCAAGTTGTTTACTGTCATCTTGCAAAGACGCCCGGAGGGGGAGCTGCCTGCGTGTGTGCTGGCCTTTGAGGAACTGGCCAGTAATACTGGACTAACCTAGCAACTCCGGTCATGGCTGGCCAGAGGCTTTTCTGACTCTTATCTTGGCTGTGACGGGTCATTTCCTGCCTGGGGTTCCCCACCTACTTCTAGATATGTCAAAGAGGCCTTCTCTTGCTTGAGCCTGGAGGCAATGGAAGCAGCATTTCTCCTGCCCATATCACCCCAGGGCAAGTCCTTTCTGAAAGGAGGCGCAACCAGTTTTCTCCAGTGTCTTTATAAAAGTACTGTTTTTATAACTTGAAGAGCTAGCAGGAGCTCGTTCTCTATTAACCTCTCCCATATAGGCTTACCAGAGCGCTCAGTTACTTTGATAACAATTTCAGGGTTTGGTGAAGATGAGGAAAAGGCTGTAAATGAGCTGTTGAGGCAGTGGTTCCACTGCCTGCTTCAACTTGGATACCTCAAGTAGCTCTGATAATTCTTGCTTGTTGACAGGTCAGAGAAGGTTTGTGCTCCACCGCAGGGAGCATTACAAACCTTCAAGGTGAGGATGGTTCAGGTTGAGACACCAGTTTTGCTTGGATCCTAGCAGCTGATGTGATCCCCTGACTTCACATGTCTTCTGTGCTTGTCTGTCTGTGGCCCTGCTTGTGGGATCACAGTTTCTGCTTCTGTTTGAGGAGCTCTGACCTCCTGCATGTTGTAACTTCAGGCCCTCAGCTGCAGCCAAACAACAAACAAAACTGACTTTGACAAGCAGGGAGGATGACTTGGGGACTGCCTAAAATTTGTGGAAACTCCAGTTGTCTGTCTGACACCCTGCAAGGCGATTTCTTTAGGCAATTTTTGTGTTTCTCCAGTTGAGTTTGCACACCAGAAGAGCAGGTAGACAACTTTGCTCCCCATAGCTGCTCATGATTGGTGTGATTTTTTTCATCCCCATGACCTGAAGTTGGCCTGTTCGAGGCTTATTCCTGACTTCTCCATGGGAGCTTTTCTCTGTCCTACAGCACAGAGATCATCTGCCTGTCCCTGAGTGCCTCTGCTTCTGTGTCTCTGCTTCACTTACCCTTTCTTCCAGCCATGCCACATGAAGGAAATGGAGGCTAAACCCTATGGGTAGGAGGACTGGTACAATGAAAGGTGCTGAAAGCTAAGCATCTTGCCTCTCTGAACCTGGGAATGTTGTCCAGAGGCCAAGGTAATGACTAAGACAATGAGTGTCACAAGCCCAGGTGAAAAGTTTGAAGACTAGAAATAAATGATAATAAAATCTCTGATGTCGTGTGGGATGGAATGGTACCCTGTGGGTGAGAATAGGAAACCGGTGGTGTGTTCTCCCAGCAGCTCTATCCACCAGCTGTCACCTGAGCAGTAGGAAAATGACGGAACATTATTGTGTCTCCCTGAGCATCTACAGCGGGGACTCGGGGAGCAGCAGGGCAGCTAACAGCCCTACGTGCAGTGGGGAGGGTGTCCCCTGCTCACAGGGACTGTCCGTGAAGACAGAGAACCTGGCTGTTGGCTGTTTCAGTGCAGATCCTGAAGCGTTGTTTAGGGCACAGCACAGCTGAGAGATTTGCCCAGGGCTCAGTCAGGGTTTCAGTAGCACCAAGAACTGTCATCTCCATCTGGTACCGAGTACCCCCTATGGTGAGCAGCAGGGAGGTAGCTTATAGCGTGCTTTGAATCTTTTCAAGAGAAATGCAGGACTCTGGATATGATCAACCAGCCCTAACTGGAGAAGACAGAACCACTGGTTCAGTGACCATTATCATGCTGTAAAGTTTACCTGTCTCCTGCCAGCATCAGCTGCCGAAAAGCAATTTGCACTTCACTGACCGGCTGTAAATGCTCCTATGAGATGCTGCACACAAGATCTGCCAGCGAGCTTAGTCAAAGCTGAAATGATGCACGGGAACATCTCTTCAGCGGCCTCTTCTATGCCAGGAGACAGCACTGCGTGAATGTTTCAGACGAGCTGCTAAACTACAGAAAGAGCTCTCCTTTACATGCAGTACTTGTTTGCTCTTCCCTTGTTATGCTTAGTCATCAGCCTAGGAGCACACAAACTGTGTGACTTACATGAATCATTTGCTGTGTGCTCATTGTTCCTCTTGGGTTATGTGGGGTTTTTTTTCAGGGTTTTTTTGGGAGGGGGGTCTGGAGGGGGTGTGGAATAACCAATTCCATGAATAATCAATCTCTAGTAAAAGGGATATTTCTGTCCAGCCTGTCTTTTGCCAAAGGCGGCTGTGTGGAACTGATAATAGCCCTCTGACTAGTGACAGCTGCTAGCCAGCAGTTTCCTCATTTGATATCACTGGGCCCATCTGTTAAAGAGGTTTTATGTTCTTCTTGTTATCTCCTAACAACTTTATCTCAGTTACTCAGTATGCAGAACACAACTAGTTGTACTAAGATGTAGGCTTTACAGTTGCTCGCTGCTGAACAATTTCCAACAGATTTTTTCACCTATATTTGTCCATGATATTAACAATGGGTGTGTTCTGCTCTGCTAGGGCAAATGCACAACTGGAGGGGAAAAAAAGCAATTGCATGGTTTCCTGTCTCACTGCATGAGGCAGAAAGTGGCAACTTCCTCTGATGCAAGTCCCCTGCACCTCCCCCTCCTCCCTGTCCATCCTCATCACCCTTGTTAGAGCCTCACCAGGGAAAGAAACAAAACCGCTCGTGGGTCCTGGCTCACCCACCACGCTGTGCTGTGCTCCATGGTGGTACGTGATTGCTTGAAGTAGGAGGAGAGGATCCCTTTGCAGGGAGATACCGTCTCAGTTGTGTTCTGTATCAGACACTGACCTTGGAGAGCATAAGGACATGTCTTGTGTAGTGAGACGTGATGCCGGGTTAGCCTTAGCACAGGGCTGGGTAGTGAATGGCAGGGAAGTGCCT